TAGCATTTGCTTCTTTGCGGCCTTCCGACCTCAAGATGGCCCAAGAAGCCCCCAAGATCGCCCCACAATCGCTCACGAGGCCTCCAAGATGACCCCATGACAACCCAAGAAGCCCCCAAAAAGGCCCCAAGAGGGCCCCAAGACGGCCCAAGAGGCCTCCAAGACGCCCAAGATGGCCTCCAAGACGGACCCGAAGCGCCCCAATAGGGCCCAAAGTCGGTTCCGAGAGGCCCCCCAAACGGCTCCCGACAGCGTCAGACGGGCCAGGAACGCCATAAGACTACCAAAGAAGCCCCCGAGAAGCCCCAAAAGGGCCCTAGGAGAGCCCAAGATAGCCCCAACATGGTCTCCAAGACGGTCCCAAGATGGCCCAATCGAGCCCAAGAGTGCCTCAAGAGGCTCCGAGGAGGCATCCTCTCCCTTCTCCTTTTTCCTTTTTCTCCTCCTCTTCCTCTTCCTCCCCCCCGCGTTCCCCGAAATCTTTCCAAACAGACTCGGGGAACACATGGTCCGATAGCTTGGCCAAGCTCTAGCCCAGCTGCCGGACACATAATTAGGCGCTTCTACAAGGGCAGGGGGCGGCAGTGATTCGCCGTAGGCGCCTTCGATCAGCCGCCCCCTGTTCGCTTGCCACGGGGGTGCCCAGCGTGCTGGATGTCCTGAGGGGGTGGCTTTGGTTCTTTTCCCAAAGAACTCCCCCTGGGGCTTCGGACCAGCGCGTCGGCCACCCGGAAAGAACCGCAAAGCACCTCAAGGTGCGCAAACAAATTCCGAAAACGGCTCAAGATGGCCTCTCTAACGGCCAAGATGTCTCAAGATGGCCTCCGAAATGCCTCCAAGACGGCCAAGATGGCCCCAAGCGACCCCAGCATGGCCCCAAGATGCACCCAAGACGGCCCAAAATGGCCTCCCTGCGACGGCCCAGAAGGTCCGCAAGAAGCCCCCAAGAGGCCTCCAATACGGCCCAAGAGGCCCCCAAGGTGGCCTCCAGGAAGGCCCCAAGAAGCCCAAACCATTGATTTCCGAAGTCTTTGATGGCACTTTTCGCTCAGCAGCAGGTCCTGTGGTGAAGTCGGGCTTGAAATTCACTCGCAGGGGGCTCTGGCCACGGGCAGTGTCTCGCACCGGTCAACACCGTGGCGCAGGACACAAGCCTGAAAGCCGCTGCCTCCGTTCAAGGGTGGGAAGTTGGAAACACAGGAGAGGCTACGAAGAGCACATAGGATGCCGAACCGCTTTCATTGTCATGAAAGTGCCCGCACAGCCATGGCATTTTTCACTCAGCAGCAGGTTTTGTAGTGAAGTCAGGCCTGAAGCTCACTCGCTGGGGCTCTGGCTACAGGCAACGTCTTTCATGGGTCAATAACCGTGGCCCAAGACAGCGTCTCGCACTGATCACGGTCAGTGCAGTGGCGCAAGGGGCACAAAGCTAAAAGCCACCCAAAATCACCAACGGAAACTGCCGGGTTTCGTGCGTGCACTGGCTTAGAGATCTGAGCAAGTGAGGTGCATAAGGGGACGAGGGAAGGGTTGCGCGACTAGCGTCCAGAAAAGGCCGTCTGAAGCCTTTCCTTGGAGAAATCGGTGTGCGATGAGCGTTCTACTGCAAATGCCACGATGTATGCATTTTCGCTCAAGGCTTCTCGAGCTGTCAACCGCATTGCAAATTAAGAGTCGACTAGCCCTTCGCTACTCGGTCCCCCACTGACGAAAATGTGTACCACGAGCTACTGCCTGTGGTAGAAGTTTAGCTCTCTCAAAGCTGGGGAGGTCCCAGAGCATGGAGGTTTGAGGGATCTCCATGATGTAGACTTTCCCTAATTTGCGACAGATGTGGGAAATCCGAAGCGAGAACCTGGCCAAGCAGTCTCCGACTCAGACCTTTGCCCGATCGTTGTGCTCAAATCGGGAATCCCAAAGACGTGAGCGTTTATTCATAGGGGAGGCGGTCTACCTCTCCCAGCACGAGAGAAAGTAACGCAGGGCATCCAATCAGGGCACCTTTCAATTTGTTTCAGGCGAGCAATCACCCAACGCTGAACCCCGCGTTTCGTCAGGTCATGCTCGGGGCCGTGGATGACGCCAGTCGAAATAGCATGGCCCCCGAGCCGCATCAGGGCGCTTTTGAAGCGCCCGCTCCCAAAGAAAGTCCTCCGCGCTCCAGTCGCTGGCAGCGTCGGCACCAGGAATACTCTTTGCCTCCCCATAAAGTTGCCCTGCAAGTGCTTGGCGCATGTACTCTCTGAAGGGGCGCGGCAAGATCTGCCACAGCTCCAGGATGCGACCGCGGAGGCAACACAGGGGGGCCAATGCAGGGGGTTGCCGACGGAAGCCCTGAGGTCTGACATTGCGAAGAAGGTGCAACATCGCGAAACATCTGAGCCTTGGGCCCCGTCTTTCTACGGCATACTGCGAGCCGGGTAGATCTGTGATGGCCGTGGTGCCCGAAACATGGCGAGAACGCCCGGTGTGAAAACAGTGCAGTGCCCAGATCCCAGGGTCCCACCATGAAGAGCAGGAGAAGGATCCTCCAGTTGTCGTTCCCAGACATCTGGCGCTCGAATTATTTCGATGGGTCTGCCCTGGGGCCAGCTTTTCATCCCGAATCGTTTTTTGACGGTCCCGAGGCCCGTTGAGGCCTCCCCGATGCCAAAAATAAATCAAAACCTGGCCGCTCCAATTTTTTTCGGAGCCGCGGATCTCTGGGGACGACGACGACGACGACAGCGACGACGACGACGACGACGACGACGACGACGACGACGACGAAGACGACGACGACGACGACGACGACGACGACGACGACGACGACGACGACGACGACGACGACGACGACGACGACGACGACGACGACGACGACGACGACGATGCGTCTCCCCACGCGCCCGCACCCTTCGGAGGTCCTTGGGCGACGCGAGGCGCTCGTCCTGCTTCTCGCCCTCCGGGTGGGGCCCGCGGTGCGCGCCGCTCGAGGCGGGGAGGCAGAGAACGGGGCTCAAGGGGCGGCGAGAGCGGCAGTTCTCCTCCTCGACCGCCTCTGTCCTTTCCGTCGCGAGAGAGAGAGAGAGAGAACAAAAAAAAACAAAAGAGAGAGAGAGAGAGGGAGAGAGAAAAAGAGAGAAGACGAGCGAGAGAGAGAGTGGGGAGGGAGGAAGGGGGGAGGAAGGGGGGATGGGGGGGGAAGGAGAGAGAAGGAGCAGGATGGGCTCGAGATCAGCGCCGCCGCCGGTGCGCATGGAGGGAGCAGGCAAGCACAGCAGGAGGACGAGAGACGAGCGAGAGGGAGGCATGGGGCGAGGGAAGGGGGGCGCGGGACAGGGGCCGGAGAGGGCAGACGTGGAGAGATACTGGAGCAGGGGGGCGGGTCCGCAGGGGAGAACAGCGAGGGAGCGAGTGCTCGCCGCTGTGAGGGCGAGGGGTGAGGTGGCGAGGTGAGCGAGGGCGAGGAAGGCCGAGGTGAGCGAGGTGAGAGGGCGAGGAGGGCGAGGGAACGAGCGCTCGCCGCTGCGAGGGCAGGAGGGGTGAGCACTCCGCCGTTGCGAGGGTGAGGTGAGGGCATCGACTGGGAGAGCAAGAAGGTGCGTCTCAACGGGCCAGCTTCTCTTCAGGCTTCTGCACGCGGATGCAGCGTCAAGCGTGAAAAAAAACTACGAATCCAACGGGCGGTTCGAACAGTGTCCTGGCAAGTGCGCAAATCAAGTCAAGTGCCAACTTGGACACTTCAGATCCAAATTGCAAGGTAACAGGGAGGACTTACCCCACAAGCCCCTGCGACGAGGCTGCTAAGGCCTAAGAGTGAGAAAGAGAGAGAGAGAGAGAGAGAGAGAAAAGAAAGAAAGCACACGTCCCGAGAGCAGCCTGGATCCCGGGTATCTCCACTCTGCTTGGAGAGGACGGTGCGCTCTGGAATACTGAGAACTTAAGTAAGGCCTCCATCGGCCAGCTCGGGCTGCATCTGACCAAGGTCAGGCGCCTGGGAGCACTCTTCTGGGGGGCCACTCCGTCCGCTCTCTCTGGTTTCCATCTGCACCCTTGGACCTTGCCTCCCTGAAGGGATGCCGCTCGCTCACGCAGGACGCGCACTCACGCCACTTCAAAATGTGACGCTGGGTGTATGTTTGGAGCAGCGGCGCAACAAAACATTGCGCTGGTGACAGCAGCATCGGCGACGCCGCTATCGCTGAGGTATTGAACACGCAAGTGGCCTTCTACTGCGCGAGCATCGCGAACGATGCTGAACCTTCCTGTTACGATAAGGACTGCGGCGGACCAGCATCGCTGAACATGAACCCAGCGGCCACCGTTGCGTGGTAGACACCACATATGCTCCCAGCTTGATGAAGGCATTGATAAATGCATTGACGGGTGTTGCAGTGGCTGCCCGCTGGAACGTTTAACCCTGACGGGCTGCATAATCCCGAACGGTGCCGACTGCACACGACGCGGCCCACCTCTGCGGGTCTGATCACGCCTGTTGGTCTCGTCTCACGACAGTCCAGCAGGGGAGGTTGCAGGGAGGAGCGTTGGAGCGGGGAGAAGGAAAGAGGGGATTGAGGATTGAGAGGAACGGGGGGGGGGAGGCACAAGGGAACCAACGAGCAACGCCTCATTCCTGGTCCGCCTCACACCTGGAGCTCCTCTTTAGGGGAGCGTGCAGGTACCGATGCCGCTACTCTCAGACATCCAGCGCCCACAATTTTTCGATGCGTGCCCTTCCGGAGGTCTGGACCACTTCCCTAGGACAAGTTCTTCGTCCTGGTTGTCCTGGGGCCCGTTGAGGGCCTCTGGAGGCCAAACATAATACAACAAAGGCCACTCCAACATGTTCGGAACCTCGGATCTCTGGGCTCCCTGGACCTTTCCAGTGGTGCACTCTGACACAGATTTCGAGGCGAATCTATCCATACGTGGCGACGGGGAGAGGGTAGCAGCATCGGTATCTCTTCCTCCTCCAATCCTTGGCGCGGACAACCACCAGTCGACCACCAGCAAGCGAGACTTCATCTCCGCCCGGGAGAGGGGCCAGTCCTGGGGATACTGCTTCTCCTTGGACCTCTCCCGGGGTGCGTCCTGACCAGAGCTTCGAGGCGAACTCAGCCGTGGCGACGAGGGACCTCCCAGGAGGCCCGAACAGCCGCAAACGAAGCAAGGGCAGTGGTACCCGTGCTTTTTCCTCCCCCGAAGTCCATGGCAGCGCACCCGCCCGCGAAGAGGTGGTAGCTGGGCGGCTGCGCGGCGGCTGGCGAGCCGGAGCCCTCCGACGGCCTGGCCGGCAAGCTGCAGCGCTTGCCGCGCCCGCGCGCCGGCGGGCCCGATGCGGCGAGGGCGCCGGTCGAGAGGACGCCCTGCCCGCCGGGTGAGGCGCTGTGGGTTGCGTGATGATTGACCCCAAGCTGAAACACATGATCTATCTATCTATATATCTATCTATCTCTCTATCTGTCTGTCTATCTATCTGTCTGTCTATCTATCTACCTATCTGTCCCTCTACATATACACAAGTAGGGCCACGAGCCCCGACCTTAGAGCGCTGTGGGCTCCCGCGGTGTGCGATGCCACTCGAGGGCCGAAGCAGGCCGCTCGCGGCTGCGTGGGAGGCTGCCTCGGCAGCTCGTGCACTCGCTGTGGTCACCCGAGGGCTCTCTGTGCGGCTGTGCTTCTGGACTGCACCTTGGGGCAGGGCTGAACCTAAGCGGTGCTGTTCGTTTTCGTTTTGTTTTCGTTTTCCCTCGTTTTGCCTTCAATCCGCCTTTAACGCGAAACGACATCGAAACGAAAACGGCCCACGAAATCGCCAAAACACCGTTTAGGTCCACCCCTGCCTTGGGGACCTGCGGAGTGGGGCCGTTCTGGGGTCTCAAACAACAGAAACAGGACAAAAGCTGGCACCTCTCTGTCGCAAAAAGGTCAACCAGGAGCCACATCTCGTCGCAACGCAGGGCGGACTGGGTCGGGAAGGGGCCCGCCACGCTTTGGCGCAAGCCCTGCCCCAATTTGTGGCCGCCGCGGTCGCCACGGCGACCTTCCAGATCGTCCCAAATGTTCGGCTCGGGGTCGGACCCAGACATCCCGCGCTCAATATTTTCGATGCGTGGACCCCCAGAGGCCTGGCCAACTTCCTAAGGGCAACTTTTTCGTCTGGGATCTTTTTGTTCACGGTCCTGCGGCCCGCTGAGTGCACCCCAGGGGCCGAAATTATACCCAAACCATCCGCTCCAAATTTTGGTGGAGCCTCGGATTTTTGGGCTCGGGGTCGGATATCACGCAACGAGCTGTGGGCGGCCTCCGTCTCCGCGTCCGGCTCGGCGGCGCACCCGTCCCCGATGTAGAAATGGCGGGCCGCCGCCCCCCCGCCGCGGCGGCCCCGGGTTCGCTGCGGCCGCTCCGCCTCGCCGGGCTGGCGCAGGCGGCCTGCGAGCGCCTCCACCGCGGCCGCCGTCGCGTCCCACATGCCCCTGCACTCGTCGATTGCCTCGGCCCGCCTGTGGGGCAGCCGCGGTCGAGGATCGACAGAGCCCCTCTGGCAAGACGCCTTCAGGCGAAAGCTGCTGGGGCACTCCATGGGTGAGCGCGGCGCCGCATTTCGAGCGCACCCGGGCGCAAGCACGAATCGACGTTCGAACGCAACCGAAGGTCCGCCACCGCCCCCTTGAGGCACGAGCTGGAATATCCTCAGGTCGCTTGCTGGACCCACTGGGGCCTCGGCCGCCAGTCCTGAGGATGTTTTTCGGGGCGGCCCCGGAATGAATCCTCGGGATGGACGGCTCGGCAAGGGCGCGTCGCGTGGCCCCTGGGGGGCATCGCGTGCCTCCTGGGGCCCAGGGCAATGGAAAATAAGGGTACAGGGCTTGACCACGAGGTGATAACATGAGAACCCTACTCTTAGGTACCCCGCAACTCATCCTATTGATGGCAAGCAAGACGAGAGGTATGAGAGAGGCCGTGTGAACCGGAGATGGCTCATAGAAGGACGTGGCCAATGTCCGCTGCTATGATCCGCAAATAGAATCACACAATTGTATAACTGGCAAATAGGAGAGTGCTGCCTTGAACCAAGACAGTGTCGGACTTACCGTTCGCTACACAGCCTCTCCTTAAACCTCGTTCAAAGTCGGGAGAGCAGGGGCGGAACGCTGGATCAAAGTCCTGGTAAACTAAGCCAAATAAGGAAAGATGATGCGGAGGTTGTTTTTTTCAACATCCCTAACATCATACAGCACACAAGCACGGGAAGGGCAGCGCAGAGCACTAGGGGCATTAGGGCCAGTCGTGGCGCATTGCCACGACCAGCCGCGAACGAGTATGGGCAGTCACGGGCAAGTCCACGTGATTACCTGCACATAGTTTAGGGAGGGCGTCCAGTCAATGGGCCGGACGTCAAAGCGTGCATCGCGCGAGGGGATGTGACCAAGCGGTCAGATCCCCTCTACAAATAGTGCCCGTGCCCATGTAGCTGCGGTGCCGTGAGCGTCTACGCCCGTGGCTGGGCGAGGATAATCACGTTGTAGGTATGCATGCCCGTGTCCCGGCAATGATAGCTACTTGTCTGAGTTTGAGTAGTCGTCCTCATTGATATCCGCTGGCCCTGAAAAGGGCACCCCTTATGTTGGTGCTATGTCTTTCTTGCGTCGATAGGATATGTGCGTCTTTACTGCGCACTTGAAAGACTGATTGCCCTCCATCACTTGTAGCGCGCGATCGATGCGCCCCTTGGTATGGCCGTCCGCGGTCAAGTCTCGTGACTCACACCAATGTGCGCTATGAACTATACCTCGGTCCATGATTTGTCTTATCCAGCCGATGCGTCCCAGCAGGGCGCATTCCTTCGGCTTCTTCAAGTCCATACTTGAAAGAAGACTCAAAGACCGACCCAGCGTCTATGGTAAGGATTGCCTTAATGCTGGGACCACCTAGATCCAGAAATGTCCAGTTGAGCGGGCGCTGAGGGTCCAAGTTTAAGCTCGTGTAGCGCAACTATGGTAGGGTAGCAGTCCTCAAACTTACGAGCGGCTGCCAGTGCTTTAGCTGCGTAGCTGGAACGTACTAGCAAGCAATGTGACTAGCAGTGTGCATCGATCAGATGTACCACTGCCTTGCCATTGCGCGCTTTCGCGCAGTAGTAGGTTGGCCCCTCGGATGCCATATCCCTCTACTTCGTCAGATTCATCCCCCTTAGGGGGGCGATATCCTGAGTCACTGTGTAGGTGTAGGTCCACTTCTCCTGTCGGAGTCACAAATTCATATATATATATATATATATTATATATATATATATATATATATATATAAGTGTATTAGTTTCTTTGGGCCATGCTGAAGCTTGCGCGCGGCAGCGTTGAATCATCGTACTTGGAGGTTTGTGGATGTCTGTGCGCGTTGTCAGGATACCACGTATACATATCATGAACCACGCTCGAGTGATTAATGCATGCGCCAAGGCGCCGCGTAAACTGATAAACATGTCGGATGCTGTTTTCGTTGCCTTTCCGTCCGCTATAGCGACTGTAAGTTCTGGATGTTGTATCGGGCGAAGCTGTTTGGTGCATTCGCCCCGATCTAGCTGGGCGCGGCCGTCCTCGGTCCTGGTATATCGCACGGCGCAATTTGTGTCGCAGTGTTTGTGCAGTTTGCATGCGCCGAACGTACATTCTACACAGTTGGTGTGCTTGGCTGTTAAGAGGTTTCGACTTGTCTCCAATTCTCCATCGTATGACGTAGGTTTTAGCCCGAATCCTCCCGTGATGGTTCTGAGCTTCAGTGAGAATGCCCTAGGGGCGTCTGTGGTGCCCGCGCCTGCCCGAAGGCACTGCAGACAATGCTCGAATCGTCATAGGACGAAAAAACCGGGCAATGTGCGTAGCACCGAGGCTGAAGCCAGTGGAAGAGTAGAGCAAACCATGCGCTCGTTCACTCCCGTGGCTCCTGACATCTCCTGACAGCTCACGATAGGTCAGACCCCTCAGGAAATCCTTATCGATGTCCATGGATGCTATGATCCACTGTTTCTTGCACGCGGCCGCGCTGGCGAGCAATCTCTGGCTTGCTCTACGAACTGTGCCTGAGAAGGCTTCTACGTCGAATGCTTCGACATGCATGGAGCCACGAAGAACGAACCGTAGTCATATTATTCGTTCCATTTCGCTTTTGTCGATTTTGACATACTTCCACTTGTGCGCGTATCTAGAGGTCAAGATAGTAGTAGCAGTAGTGATGTCTGGCAGATTGAAGCATTTATTGCCATATTCTGAGTTCAGTGCACACAGCTGTGGATAGTTTCCTCGGGTTGGCTTGTATTTCTGCCCGCGCCAGGACTATATTCCTTGACGACCGCAGCTCTTTTAGCTACGGCTGAGACATGTACGCGCGCTGTGCCCACTTGGTCGCTGTAGTGACTCGTCTTGTTGCTCTGATAGAACATCCTTAGCCATGTCGGCAGCGAAGCAGAACTTAACATACTGATCGCGGTCGTCCGAATCGAGATCGTCAGTCTCCTTGCGTTATGTGGTCCAAGGTGCCAGAAAGGTTTCGTCGGTGTCATGGTTCCGAGCATCGCCCATTTCTCGCAAGTGTCCTTGCTCTTCACTGGCCACAGCAACGAGCGCGCGGTTGTCGGTAGCCATTTCGTTGGGCACAGAGCACAGGGACTCCCATGAGGGGATGTCGAGCAGTTCCTTTCCCACTCGGAACTCTGCGTGCCACGCGTCCATGATGCGTGTCTCCAGATCTTTTTCTGAAAATTCAGCAATAGTCGGTAGCCTGCCGTCAAGTGCGGCCGGCGCTGGAGGTCCATCCTCCTCTTGGGCGTGGCCGCCCGACGCTGGCGCGTCCGCCAGGTCCTCTGACTTTGAGAGATCCTCATCACAGCCTGCTAAAAGTTTTGATGACTTTAAGCGCTGCATGATTCGTGCATGTGCGGTTCCAGAGATATCGTGAATGCTGACAGCGGCGCCTTCTGAATCGTAGCGCCCCAGGGGCGCGCGCGACTCAACTGTTCACCCGTTGACCCTGGCCTGGATCCGACCCTGACTCTCTGATTTGGTGGCCCCCCACCCGACAATTCCTGGCCCGGAGCCAACCCTGACCCCCCGCCGCGCCCCGGCATCTTCCGCGCCCAGACCCTGCGTCTTTGAAACCCCTCACCCGACAATTCCTGGCCCGAGACGACCCTGACCCCCCGCCGTGCCCCGGCGTCTTCCGCGCCCAGACTCTCTGTCTCTGGGGCCCTCGCCCGACAATTCCTTGCCGGGGGCCCGCCCTGGCCCCCCGCCGTGCCCCTGCGTCTTCCACGCCCAGGCGCTTCGTTCTTTGCGCCCCCCACCCGACAACTCCTGTCCCGGGCCCTGACCTTCGCATGCTGCTTTCCTGCTCTCAATTCTTAAAGTGCTTACGACGAAAAGTCTTGTATGTTTCGCAGCGCTGGAAAGGTTTCCGAAGCACTTGGAAGGTTTGGGGAGGTTTCGCAAACGCTGTGAAGGACTTGAACACATGTTGAAAGATTTCAAACACTCGCTAACATTTGAAGGTTTGTAAACTCTTGGGGGAAGCTAAAAATTTGGAGGATTGCGAGAATTTCGGAAGATCCAAATATGTTACAGATTTCTGGAAAATATAGATTTTCAGGATTTGAACGTTTGAAGAGATTTTTGCAGTTTTGGGGGATTATCAGGATGTGAAGGGTTCTCAAAGATCTTAATTGTTTTGCAGACCTCTGGTTCTGAGGATTTCGGTTCGCAAGGTTCACTTTCGGGTTGGCCTCAGTTCGCGGGCTGGCGGCGGTGGCGGAAGTCTTCTTCGCGCATTTGAAGTCGGGGGGGGCGGCCAAGGAAGCCCCGCCCAACGAACAGACGCCCATGACGCACCAAGAGACCCAACCACCGTCCCAAAGGGGACAAACAAAACGCACCCAGAGGGGCCCAAGACGGCGCGAGAGGCCCCTTCGAGATGGCCCGCGATGACCTGGGGCGGCGGAAGAGGCTGGAGCCGCGGGCGGCGGAAGTGGCGAAAGCCGCGGGTTCGGCGGATTCAGCGAAGCCGTCGGAGAGAATGGCTGGGGGGGGGGGGGGGGGCGGGGGGAGGAAGAACGAGGAGAGTAGCGTGGGGGGGCGGAGAGGGGGGTACCAGGACGGATGCTCAGTCATTCTGGTAATGCCAGCGTGAACTCCATTACCTCCCACGCTCGAATACTGACAGGCAAAACGCACTACCGCGGCAACTTTCACCTAATGCCGCAACGAGGCCATTCTCTGACTCATCCTCGCGCGCGGAGAAATATGCAGGGCTGCCTGCTCGGCCGCAGACTCGCGGCAGATGCAAGAACAAATGGTGCTTGCCAACGAGGCGGCCCCCCGCCGCCTCGCGCGCAATCGCGCGGTTCTTGCGCGCGCCCGTGGGCCGAACCTGCGCGGCAACCTCGGTTTCGATGGCATTGTAGAATCCGAGCAGGGCCTCGCCCGCCGCCGCTAGAAGACGGCCCTCGCGCCCC